ATTAGTATATATATATTGTTATTTAACAAATTATAGGTAAGAGACAAGAAACAGATTTTTTTAAACATTAAATTATCAATTTATATTATAATATCTATCATTAAATATTATTTCTCCATGCTCCTAACTATCTTAAAAGCATAAAAATAAATTATAAAAATCACTGATCATCGAGCCATCGTAAGTATATCAGTGATTATTTTATTTTTGTTATAATTCTTTTATCTTATCTGTGTTAACTCATATAACACAAGCCAGGTCTTATAATCAGTAAGATCCTCTAGTTCTTTCAACGTGTAACAAAGCATTATCACATCTTCATCCTGAAAACGATGAATGGAAGGTACTCCGTGTACAAAACCCATGTTTCATCCCCTGTGAAACCCGACTGATATCGCAGGAGAAACCTAGATGCCGTTTGTTGTATACAAAGCCAAAGTCGCTATCTTATCAATGCCATCCTGCCACCGGCAGATCACAGCGTTTACTCACAGGATCTCAGTCCACGGTGGCAGTCCGCTGGGCGCCTGGATTAGCTGCAGCTCGTTGCAGGCAATCAGGTTGCCGAGACAGGAGCACTCGACTGGGCAGCGATCTGTATTGTCGTTCGGCTCGGCGTAAGTCGACGATACGCTCAGCGCGAGCCAACATACGACCAGCAGGAACACGACGTTCCATTTCCGCTCGAGTCGCTTCTCTGAGCACCACGACATCGCGCACAATACGCACGCACACGTACACGCACGCACACCACTGTGTACCCAGAGTCCGACCCTAGACGGTTGTGCGACAATGCTTACCGCTGCCGCGTCGCATCATCGCCGTGGCATCGTGAAACGAATTCGGCGAGGCCAGCGACCGGGCGAGTTACCATAACACCACCGAGGAGCTGATGTATCCGCGTCGTTATCAATTCAAAACAAACTCCTCGGCTTCACCCTCAGAAGCGCTGTGACCTACGCACCATGATGACGCCTACGGAGTACGGAACGATCAGGAACGACTCCAATTGTACGCGCTAATGCCGCGCCATCTCGCGAATTGCCTGAAATGGTGGCCGACGCGATCTTTACTTTATGCTTCCGCATGTAAAACGAGGAAACTTGTCGCGAAAAGAATACGCGGTATATAGCCAATTAATTTACTGTTCTTACGGAAAACGGGTAAGTTGATTCCCCGAGATTTCGAAACCGAGGAAATCAAGGATTTCGAAAATCGACAAAATACAAGGAGAATATAGTTGAGACATTATTGAAAATTTTCCAAAAATTTCTAATTTCCAAGAATTGCAATTCGGATTTCGCACTGTGGAAATCTAAACTCTTCGAAATCGACGAAATATAGTTTGATTGCGCTCCACTAACTTTACTTAGCTCCACTCAATGATCGGAGCATAAGGAAACGTAGCGTTGAAAACAGGTTGTATTGGTCTCCGAGCTGTTTCTTCGGTTTCTTCTTATTGTGCAATTTAATCTATGTCAGTACCATAACCGGTACCCGGTTCTGTGCATTGAATATATCGAGGAACTGAGGGAATTCAAGGCAGCGAAACGTTTCAAGCGTAGCTTGTCTCTGCATTAATTTCCAGATAATACATATACGGTATATGCTTGTTGCACATCTTATTCCATAATATCCGAAATCCTTCCGAAAGACGGTTGAAATGGAGGCCAAGCTGTTGCAAATGCTCCAAGATGTTGGGTGAGTAGTTGGATTATTTCACGAAGGATTTATCCGGAGTTGAAAAGAATTGATGACTTAGATATTTAGGTTAAAGCATTTTTATTATAATGTAGTCGCATCTTTTATTTTTTATTTTTTTTTTGCCGAAAGAATGAATTTTCAATGATCTTACAGATACATTGGGCCGATGCTTGATGCCAACAAGCTGTTGAATGCCTTAAAACTTGGCGCAAAATCGCCGGATTATACTAGTCTTGTAAGCTGGTTTACCGAGCAACTGGCGACATTTATAGATATAGACGAAACTGTTCATGCTACAACAAGCTCGGACGATGCTAGTTCCTTCCTCTTAGAGTTAAGCTTCTTTCTTAAAGAAATAGGATGTATAAATGAGAAACTGATGACTGGACATATAAATCAAAGACTAGCTAATGAATCTGAAAGAGCTATTCTTATAGAATTTTTAACAACAGAGCTTATGGCTTGTAAATTATTGGAGGTAAAATGTCCTAAAGAAGAGAAGCAAATAGAAGTCACTATTGTAAGTAGTTTTAAATGTATCTTAATTATATTTTTTTTATACTGACATTGTAAAAGATTTTAATAAAATATACTGATTTAATGATATATGTTTACAGGATGAAAGTGACACTGCGAGAACTTTGAAAAATATGCTGGTTATACTGAAGTTTCAAAAGCCACCAGACAATATTTCGCCTGACTTATTGTTTTCACGGCTAGAAACTAAGTTATCAGAAGTTCTAAAGACTGTACCACCTAATCATCTAGATAAACCACTTATAGATGTCGAGCTTTCTGCTAAACAGTGGGAGAAACTAGGTCAGCTACAAGAAGAAATGCACAAGGAATATATAGTTCGACGTGAGATGTTGCTCAAACGTCTTGACGTTACAGTTCAATCATTTTTGGTAAGAATAAAGGCTATAAAAATATTTGTTTATACATACAGATCAATATATTCGATGATCACTTCATTAAAAATTATGCAATTTTACTTATAGTGGTCTGATAGATTAAAGTCACAGGAGACTGAAGTAAACAATAAATACAACGAGAAAAGAAAGACTCTGAAAAATGAACCAAAAGTGACACTGGCCGATTTACTAGCAGCTAGAGACGATCTAGCAATAATTGAGAAAACAAGTAATGCGAGTGTTCGCAAGAACACACGAAGTAAAATCAACAGCGTTATTATTGGAGCAGTTCCGGACAGAGGTGGTAGACCATACGAACAAGAGCCACCTCCACCAGAGATGCCACCATGGCAGAAGGATAGAGTTCAAGGACCTCCGTCATTCCAGTAAGTTAATGAAATAATATATTCTCTAAAATTTTTAGAGTATATCTCATTCTAAAGAGTAAAATCTCTCATTCTTAAAGATTGAAAATTGATCCTTTTTCAAGACTGGCTCAATTTTTCACTCCTTAGAGTGAGATTCCGCTCCAAAAAAATTATAGAGTAAAAGGACTGGGATTATAATCAAGAGATAATGAAATGATAATATATTTGCATGTACATACATATTTTGTTTTTTTTTTTTTTCAGGGGCGGAAGAGGAGGAGGTGGAGGTGGACGCGGTGGCGGTGGAGATAGAGGACGCGGAGGTGGAGATAGAGGACGCGGAGGTGGTAGAGGTGGTGGAGGCGGTAGAGGTGGAGGTGGTGGAGGTGGCGGCTATCGAGATCATAAAGACGCTAGTAGTAACTTTGGCCAGAACTTGAATTATCAGCAACAATCTCAATATTCCGGACATGGACATAGAGAATGTTATCCGGATCATAGAGATGCAGGAGGATATCAGAGAGGCGGTGGTAGCGGTGGTGGAGGTGGATCTTATCGTGGAGATTCCGGCACGAACTACAATCAAAATTATGGTCAAAGTTACGGTCAGAATCAGAATTATCAACAGCCGCAATATTCCGGTCAGAGAGACTCGTATGGAGGTGATAATCGAGGGAATTACTATCAGGACAGAAGGGAAAGTGGAGGAGGAAGGGGAGGAGGCAGAGTTCAAGGTGGATGGAATCAAGGTGCCAATAATTCTGGTTCGAATAGTTACCAACGTGGTGGCTACAGTAGGGGCAGAGACCAATACTGAAGATGTCACTTTACGTATATTTTTTACGATAGCAGAAGTTTCTCACGAAAAGATAAAGTTATTAAAATAATTATAGTAATGCTCATCGCTTACACTTATATTATACTCACACACATAAATTTGGTCTCAAAATAATGTTTGAGCTCAGAATATTTATAATAATGTTGTTGAATCATGTTATTTTTAAATTTCAGCTAGCTAACTCGAAATGATAATATTGCATTAAGATAGAATTATTTATATTATTTATCGCACTTCTATATACTTTCGTATACTTTCGCTACTTTTGTATTGACAGTTTTTAATTTCATCATTCGATTTAGACCGCGATTCACGCTCACAACGCTTAAAAATTATTTCATCCTTGTTTGTCAAATGTTAAACGAAGACAAACGATGCTCATGAGCGTTGTCAGCATGAATCGAACCAAGACCTTAGACATATGTAAATATAATTATTGTTTCCTACACAAATCGAAAGTACAGTAACTATGTAAATACATACTATAGTTGTTCGTTTATCAAAAGTAGCGGATTGAAATTAATTTATAACGCGAAGTATATATGTAGACTGTAAATTAAATTATTTAAATTTTATATTGAATCGCACATCATATGTATCAAAATGTATGAAATGAATTATAGTTGTTCGTTTATCAAAAGTAGCGGATTGAAATTAATTTATAACGTGAAGTATGAAGACTGTAAATTAAATCATTTAAATTTTATATTGAATCGCACATCATATATATATCAAAATGTATGAAATAAATAATATTATATATGTACTTGTGCAAGAATAATACATACAAAATTCCCAATATATGAAAAATATTTCTGTACATGAATTATACATAATAATATCCCTTTTAATATTCCTTTTAATATTTTTTTATTTCTTAAACGAATTACATAAACTGAATGAAAAGTAATTTTGTATCCTCATACTTAAAAATATAGTTACATGTGTCCTAGTAATTTTTGAAATCTTACTTTCAAAATCTGATAACTTTAAAAATATTGTTTGAAGAAATGATTCTTTCATGATGGCGCCAAATCATGGAGTCTGTTCTTTAACCTATAATTCTTGCACGGTTTACCTTTTCTCTTTTTCTCTCCAATGTAGAGAGAAAAGGAAGAAAGATGAACTGTGCAAAAAGTTCTAAAGAACAGGTATGATAATAAGCGTAATATTATTGGTTAGTTTGTATGTATACATACAGAATAAAGGTTCATCAAAACTTTTCGGAATTAAACAATTATTACTTCGCATAGTATTAAATTAACATGGTCACACGATTACACATTAATGAGAAAGATTTAGTTAATCGAGATGAGTCCGAGTTACATTTTATGCCATGTAAAATTCATGGAGACGAAGCTGCGAATGTTTCCTCCTTTTTCAAGCCTTACATTCGTAAGCTAGATGAAGAATGTGAGTGAATGAAAGTTGAAAAGAATTTCCTCAGTATCGCATATTTGTACAAACAATGTTAAAAGTATAGACAACGTTAAAAGCAAATAAATCTGTAAAATTTTATTTTATTTTTTTTATCTATCATTCTGTGTTTAACTTTCATAATTTACATGACACGTTAAATAAATGTAATAATTGAAGTAACAAACGAATCAAAAAGTTAAAGAGAATTTAAGGTTGATATATGATATTAATTTATCTTTTGATTATTTAAAGATTATGATTGTTCCTTTCGTGGCTATCCGCTTCAAGGGAAAAAAATAACTGTACCTGCTGGATTCAGAGGCATGATGTTTATGGAGAATAAAAAGACAGAAACAGAAAATAAGGACAGGAATTTGTATTGCACAGGAACTTTTTCACAGTTAATGTATTGGAATTATGATAAAATACCATCTAAGAATGATGCTTTTGTGGCAGCATTAGATTGGGTCGACATAGCTAAAGTGGTTAGTTTTTTTTGCATTTGCAAGTTATATGTTAGTTTTAACACTGTATTATTCTAATAAATTTTTCTAATAATTTTTAGTTACACTCACCAGAAACATAGATATCAGAAGCAGATTATTTTAATAAGATATCAAATAAATATATGTTCTTATGGAATGTTACATTTTTATACTTTGATAGGAGAAAAAAATAATAAAAGCATGTTTTGTATAACAGATTTATTTTTATGGCATCATACTCGTGATTATGCCACAAATAATGACCTGCATATGTTCTATGATTAAGATGTGTAAAGAGATAGTGACAGATATAGTGGTAGTATTGTTATAGCCTAATTAGCAGTGACATTTGAAGAATTTTCTATTTAGATATTTGTGGACTTCATTGTTTCGTTCAATGTAATAATATAATTATATAAATGC